GTGTGTGTGTGTGTGTGTGTGTGTGTGTGTGTGTGTGTGTGTGTGTGTGTGTGTGTGTGTTGTTTACCCTGCCACAGTCCCCGGGTCTGAGGCGCTCCAGCAGCCGGCACAGAGCCGCTCCATCCCGCAGAGACGTCCGGAGAAAAGCCTCCGGATCCGAGACGCTTTTCTTTGGGGACTCCAGGACCCCCAGAGTAATGAGCCACGTTACAGTCTGCTCGGCTGCGTTCATGGTGAACTCTCAGGTTATTAACAGCGCGCAGGGATCTGTCCAAACACGAGACTCCCTCTTTCAGACATTGAACCTAACTGGACTGGTCAGGCTGGGACGGAAGGAAGGAGGTGGAACTGAAACATGACGGCCTCCCTCGGACAGAGGATGACAGCATCACCTTGGTTTACACTCAGCTGCAGCTTCGGAGTCAAAACAGGAGTTGAGAGAACACTACTTCCTAAATTAGTTTTCAAAATAAAAGCATGCCGTTAAGTGGGTCAGTGGGCCTGGTTAAGTTTTCAAACTTTGATTTTGAAAGCTATGCCACCACACCTTTGCATCAGTGTTGTCAACTTAGCGACTTTGTCACTAGATCTAGCGACTTTATAGACCCCTCTAGCGACTTTTTTTTTTCTAAAAGCTACTAGCCACAAAATATAGCGATTTTTCCCGGTGTTTTAGAGACTTTTAAGAGCTTTAGTGACAGCGTTTTCCAAGCACTTTTTCCCTTTCCTCCGCAAGCAGCGAGCGCGGACGTGAGCCCCTACCCCTTCCTAAAGCCTCTTGCAGCACCCCCCACCCCTAACCCCACCCCCGGCTGAAGTCAGGGGAGAAGAGACCGCTGAAAATCAATCACGCATGCGCAAAGCTGTCACTGCTTCAGTCTGGTTTACAAAGTGGGATGTAATATTTAATATAATGTTTTTTTCTCTGGTACTGTCCCACTAAATCTCTGGACCCAGCTGTGTTTGACAGTCACTTCTTGACCTCTTCCTCCCTGTGTCTGGTGACGTCGAACTGTCTGCAGATTAAATTTAAGATTCCCACAAATTTAATTTATGTGAATCTAAGCATTAAAATTTATATATTTATTTTATTTCATTAAGTGTAATTGCATTTCTAAACATATTTAGTATTTTCATTCACCTTTTCACTCTTTATCATCTCTCCTATAGCTCAGATCACTATTTTTGGCAAACATCCAACTATGAAAATTAGGTGATGACATCATCTAATGACTTCTAGCGACTTTTAGGACAGCCAATAGGGATTTTTCTTGCTCAGGAGTTGGCAACACTGCTTGGCATTGCACCTTCATTATCCGGATATTGGCAGCGACAATGGGACGGTCCCATTGATGACGCGATGAACTTTGCTGAAAAAAATTAGTGTTCAAAAATAAATTTCTGCCTTAAAATCACTTTAACGTCTGTAGGACCACGTGATGACCTCTAATCTCAGTTTTATTCATCATAAAATGTTAACTGAAAAAGTCGAATAATCAAGATAAGTGTAGCTGTAAAATGTGACAAGTGGACTTCCGTTTTTAAGTGGCTATGCCACCTTCATTAATGAACATCACACTTAATAAACTGAGTAGATTTTTTAATATAAACTCAGTCRCCCCCTGCTGGACACTTTAGTTTTTATGGTTTGAACAAATTTAGTGATACAAAACCATACATTTGTATATTTGATATAAAGTACAACGTAAGATGTGATTAGACAAACTATACAACAATAAATAAAATAATAAAATAAAATATGTGATGTATAACATAATTCAGTATGTGATATATGATATAATATAAATGTGATGATAGGATACAATTCAAAGTTAATAATAAAATACGATATGTGATGATACAACACAATACATGACGGAACGATACAAGATAATACAATACATTTCAGTATGGGACAATTAGGGTTGGGCATTTATTTAGTCTTAACATGTCAATCTGCAAATCGTTCGAATTTTAAAAATTTCTAGTTTAAGTCCAAGGATGAAGTAGCCACTGAACAAAACCTGCAGGTGAGCTACCAAAACACCACTGATGAAGCCGCTTGAACACCACGGAAGAAGAATCTGCAGGTAGTGTGTATGGGGTGCCCATACAGTGTGTGTGCAAATGGACAGTGTGAGACAGCAATCTAAAGTGTGGCTTAACTTCCATCCATCCATTATCTTAACCCACTTCTTCCTTTCAGGGTCACACAGAGTTGTATAGTAATTAAGTACAAATACTTTGTTACTGTACTTAAGTAGAATATTTAAGTAGCTGTACTTTACTTGAGTAATTTATTTTCAGTCTACTTTTTACGTCTTCTTCTTACATTTTCACATAACTATCTGTATTTTCTACTCCTTACCTTTAAAAAAAAAGGCAAGTAGAAAGTTATTGCTTTCATTTCATTTTTGCTTGTTTTCATTCCAGTTTTTTATTGTAAAAAAATAAATACTATCCATATAAACTGTGCCCCAGGGGCGGGGCCACAGGGCCATTAGCCAAAGCTAAAATCTGATTGGTCCCCTGAAGTGCCTCTGTCCTGGCACTCATCTGTCCTTTACCTGGGAGTGATGATGGTGGATGCAGTTCCATGTTCAAAGACTAGTTGCGCTATTGAGTAAAATAGTAATGTCCAGAATGAATCAAGCTTACAGAATTCTTCTCTTCTTAAGAAAATTTGAACAATCCTGAAAAAAAATCTTTCAGCTGACAAATGATGGCTGGATTTTCTCATTTGTTCTCCGTCCGTCCATTTTCTGTCGCTTATCCGGGATCGAGTTGCGGGGGCAGCAGCCAAAACAGAGAGACTCAGACTTCCCTCTCCCCAGCCACTTGGGCCAGCTCGTCCAGGGAAATCGCAAGGCGTGCAGGCCAACCGAGAAACATAGTCCCTCCGGTGTGTCCTGGGTCTTCCTCTGGGCCTCCTCCCAGTGGGACCTGCCCAGAACACCTCACCAGGGAGGCATCCAAGAGGCATCCTAACCAGATGCCCGAGCCACCTCAACTGGCTCCTCTCGATGTGGAGGAGCAGCGGCTCTGCTCTGAGTCCCTCCCAGATGACTGAGCTTCTCACCCTATCTTTAAGGTAGAGCCCAGACACCCTGCAGAGGAAACTAATTTCTTCCACTTGTATCCGCAATCTTGTTCTTTCTGTCACTACCCAAAGCTCATGACCATTCTTTATTTGTTCCGCTCTCGAAGGAGTAAGACGCTTCACCCTTCTCTCCTGCCCTGCCTTATCTTTCCCTGATTTGCTACTTGGAGCCTTCTCTATATTTTTCATCTGAAACCAGAAATTATGGAAATTTTTATTTTTATGGACTTGATTAGCTGGTCTCTCAATAAAATTTTTTGGAACAAAGTTTATTTTTCTTCTTTCATGGGAGGACACGTCAAAGGTGGGACCTCTGTTCCTCTCTGTTCTGGATATACATTTGGACTCCGATCACTGGATTCTACAGACGGCTGTGTTCTATCAGCACTCGGACATCGGGCCTTGAGCGGGCTGGGCTCAGTCTGCAAGCGGTTCTACGGAGAAAGCTGATGAATCGACTCGGCGGTATGTGTCCACACCATTTTGCCTGATTGGATTCGCCACCTTGAGAGTATCTGCAGACATTAAGGCATAGGGAAAATTGTTGTTGTCTGCCTGTCCCTTTTGTTCCCAAAACAACTGATTAGAGAATCTGGATTTCCCTGGCAACGACCTTGGATCTGTTGACAAAATCCTTCCTGGTTGGAAGATGTTGACAGGGCTCTCCCCCTCCCTCCATCCTCCTCCCTCCTCCCTCACCCGTATGATCTGACTCCTGAGGAAGCTGAGGCCCCACAGAATGAACAAAAATGACCATCAATATTCTGAACTTTGGCTGCACTGGCCTTGGGGACTGGATTCTTTGGGGCCCCTTCAAACTCACTTACTCCTCTGGCTAATAATCTTGCTCTACACAGAGGTTTTTATATAAACACCATAGTATGTCACAGTGCTGATATAATATGATGTTTCTGCTTTTTTCCTCATTTTCCCTTGTGTGGTTTTTAGTTTTTCTGTTTTTCTGTTTGTCTAAAGATAGCGCAACTGTGTTTGCTGCATGACCTGTCTTAACTGCCCCCTCCCCCTTCCCTGAATGTACAGTACCTTGAGAATTTATTTCTGTGAAAGGCGCTTATAAATAAAACTTTACTTACTTACTTACCATACATGAGGGTAGGAATGTAGACCCTCCAGTAAATCGAGAGCTTCGCCTTCTGGCTCAGATCCCTCTTCTCCACGACAGATCGGTACAGCGCCTGCATCACCAATCCGCCTGTCAATCTCCCGCTCCATTTTKCACTCATTTGTGGACAAGATCCCGAGATACTTAAACTCCTCCATTTGGGGCAGGACCTCCTCCCCGACCCGGAGACGGCACGCTACCATTTTCTGGCTCAAGACCATGGTCTTGGATTTGGAGGCACTGATCTTCATCTCTGCTTCACACTTGGCTGTGAAYCGCTCCAGTGAGAGCTGGAGATCACGATCTGATGAAGCCAACTAGGACCACATTATCCGCAAAAAGCAGAGATGTGATCCTAAGGTCACCAAAACAGATCCCCTCAACACCTCGGCTACGCCTAGAAATTCTGTCCATAAAAATTATGAAAAGAATCGGTGACAAAGGGCAACCTTGGCGGAGTCCAACTCTCACCGGAAACGAGTCCGACTTACTACCGGCAATGCGGACCAAGCTCTGGCACCAGTTGTACAGGGACCTGACAGCCCGTACCAATGGGCCTGGTACCCCATACTCCTGGAGTACCCCCCACAGGAGTCCCAGAGGGACACAGTCGAATACCTTCTCCAAGTCCACAAAACACATGTAGACTGGTTGGGCGAACTCCCATGCATCTCCTAGGACCCTGCTGAGGGTGTAGAGCTGGTCCGCTGTTCCACGACCAGGACAAAAACCACACTGCTCTTCCTGAATCCGAGATTTGACTATCCGACAGACCCTCCTCTCTAGGACCCCTGAATAGCACTTACCAGGGAGGCTTAAAAGTGTGATCCCCCTATAGTTGGAACACACTCTACGGTCCCCCTTTTTAAATAGGGGGACCACCACCCCGGTCTTCCAATCCAGGGGAACTGCCCCCGTTGTCCACGCGATATTGTGGAGTCGCATCAACCAACACAACCCCACAACATCCAGAGCCTTAAGGAACTCCGGGCAAATCTCATCCACCTCCGGCGCCTTGCCACTGAGGAGCTGTTAAGTTTGAGCAAAGGAACAAACTCAAATCCAGACGGAGACGATTAGCTTTAGATAAAAGATTTATTAAACAAACAAAAAGCTGAAGTGGCAGCAAAAAATATATATATTCAGGAAAATCAAGGGACCATAACATGAGGCAAGAACATACAAAGAACCAGTGAATAAGTGAGAGCTGAGCCCAGCTTAAATACAAACTGAGGGAATGATGGAATGAACTACAGCTAATGAGAATACTAATTAGGAACTGCTGACAGGTGTGTATAATTGACTGAGGAGGGAAGTGACAGGGAAACTGAGTAATGATAATGCAGAAACACTAGAGGGAGGAAGACACCAGACAACAGAAAACACAATCCTACAGGAGCTTTTTAACCACCTCAGTGACCTCAGCACCAGAGATTGGAGAGTCCGACCCAGTGTCCTCAGACTCTGCTTCTTCATGGAAAGACGTGTCGGTGGGATTGTGGAGGTCTTCGAAGTATTCTGCCCACTGACCCACAACATCCTGAGTTGAGGTCAGCAGCGCACCATCCCAACCATAAACAGTGTTGGTGGTGAACCGCCCCCCCACCGAGACACCAGATGGTAGACCAGAATCACCTCGAAGCCGTGCAGAAGTATTTTTGCATGGCCTCTCTGAACTCCTCCCATGCCCAAGTTTTTGCCTCAGTGACCACCTGAGCCGCAATCTGCTTGGATTTCCGGTACCTATCGGCTACTTCCGGAGTCCCACAGGCCAAAAAGACCTAATAGGATTCCTTCTTCAGCCTGACAGCATCCCTCACTGCCGATGTCCACAGCAGTTTCGAGGGTTGAAGCCACGACAGGCACAGACAACCTTACGGCCTCAGCTCAGGTAAGCCGCCTCGACAACGGAGGCATAGAACATGGCCCACTTGGACTCAATGTCCCCCACCTCCCCCGGAATGTGTTTGAAGTTTTCCCGGAGGTGTGAGTTGAAGCTCCGTCTGACGGGAGACTCTGACAGAATTTCCCAGCAGACCCTCACTACACGTTGGGGCCTGCCAGGTCTGACCGGCATCCTCCCCCACCATTGGAGTCAACTCATCACCAAGTAGTGGTCAGTTGACAGCTCCGCCCCTTTCTTCACCCGAGTGTCCAGAACATGCGGCCGCAGATCAGATGAAACAACAACAAAGTCGATCATCGAGCTGCAGCCTAGGGAGTCCTGGTGCCAAGAGCACATATGGACACCCTTATGTTTGAACATGGTGTTTGTTATGGACAATCCATGACGAGCACAGAAGTCCAATAACAAAATACTGCTCGGGTTCAGATCAGGGGTGGGGGGATTCCTCCCAACCACGCCCCTCCAGGTCTCACTGTCATTGCCCACATTTGCTGAAGTCCCCCAGCAGAACGAKGGAGTCCCTGTTAGGAGCGCCCTCCAGCACCCACTCCAAGGACTCCAAAAAGGGTGGGTAGTCTGAATTGCTGTTAGGCACATAGGCACAAACAACAGTCAGTACCCGACCCCCACATGTATGTGGAGGGAGGCTACCCTCTCGTTCATCGGGGTGAACCCCCAACGTACAGGCACGAAGATGGGTGTCGATAAGAATGCCCATTCCTGCTTGGCGCCTCTCAGCATGGGCAACTCTAGAGTGGAAGAGTGTCCAACCCCTCTCGAGTTGACTGGTTCCAGAGCCAGAGCAGTGTGTCGAGGTGAGTCCAACTATATCTAGACAGAACCTCTCAACCTCACACACCAGCTCTGGCTCCTTCCCCACCAGAGAGGTGATATTCCACGTCCTTAGAGCCAGTTTCTGTAGCCGAGGATCGGACCGCCAAGGTCCTCACCTTTGACCACTGCCCAACACACATTGCACCCGACCCCTATGGCCCCTCCCACAGGTGATGAGCCCATGGGAAGGGGGACCCACGTCTCCTCTTTGGGCTGTGCCCGACCGGGSTCCATGGGTGAAAGCCCGGCCACCAGGGTCTGGCCAACTTGCCCCACCTCCAGGCCTGACTCCAGAGTGAGGCCCCGGTGACCTGTGTCTGGGCGAGGGAACTCTAAGTCCATTTGTTGCACTCATGATAGGGGTCTTTGGGCTGTACTTTGTCTGATCCCTCACCTAGGACCTGTTTGCCTTGGGTGACCCTACCTGGTGCATGAAGCCCCCGACAACGTAGCTCCTAGGACCAGTGGGACACTCAAACCTCTCCACCACAATAAGGTGATAGCTCAGCACACATGTTGTGTGTTTGAGAATATTTTTTATGTAGAGTAAAATGAATGAAAAACTGGTAAGGAGAATTTACTGTGCAAGCTTTTTGTGATACCACTTTACAATAAGGCTCCCCTTATAGGTGGCTTATAAAGAGTTTATAGATAGGTTATTAATTCATCTGTAAAAACTTTATAAATCATTAATAAATGTGTATTGTGCAACAATTAAGGACAAGAAAGACAAAACTGTCCAGTTTTTTTTTTACCAAATAGTGATTAGTGGCAGGGAAACAGAAACTGAAATCCTCACAAATACAATATAATAAAATACAGTTATGTTATATACTGTGTGATACAACACAATTTAATATGTTATGATTTGCCATCTTTCTAGAAAGTGACTTTGATGGCCAAATGTATGGCCACACTCCATTAAAATCAGTAACTCTCATGCACATTCATTTAATTTATTTATTCATTCAACCACATTAAACTTTATTTTGCAATTGAATGTCATTTGTTGATTTTAAATACATTTTGTCTATTTGTAAGCGTGCAAATATAGTTTACTTATGTGTTTTTATCAACTCATTGTTTATTTGATTGTGTTTTTGACTAATTCTTCTTTCTTTTACTGGTTTCTTACTTGCTGTGATCTCTGGGAGTTACCAGACAAAAGATGATGGCCAGGGCTTGGCACTTGACTGCAGGAGGTGGATAATTAGAGCGCACCACCAGTTCCTGCTGAAGAGGGGGACTTTGTATTTCCTTTATTTTAAACAAGCTTTTGTGTTTAACTGAATATTTACATTTAGAGTTTAAAGTGTTTGATTTTCTTCTTTAGAAGTTCTTTAGTTTATTAGAAAACTGAACTGCACTGTGTATTTTTGTTGTAGTTAGTGATTGTATTTTGTTAGGTTAGCCCTTATAATGGTCTGATCAGCCAGAGTGTAAACCCTTTTTTGTGTGTCATGTCTCAGAAGGTCAGTTATGTTTTGTTATGCAGTCAGTTTGGGCACATTTTTACCTGAGTTCATTTTGTTATGTTGGCCTCTTTTATGAGCTCAGTTTTTTTGGTTTTTGTAAGTATAATTTTTTGGGTTAAAATAAAAACCAAATTTTTCTAATTCCTGTGACTCCTCCTGTTTCAATTCAGCCCACCACAGCGASCTTTGACGGTCAAAGGTTTTCTATTGCTAGTGACCAATGTGGGCACAACTCCTATATTGAAGTCATGGCACCTGGCGTTCCCAGGTGGTCTCCCATCCAAGTACTAACCAGGCCTGACCCTGAGATCAGACAAGACCTGGCATGTTCATGGTGGCGTGGCCACAACATTGAGATGTCATATACAATACAATATGTTACATATTATACAATACAATATGTGACGATATGATACAATACAATTTAATATGAAATAATACTGTACAATTCAATGTTTAATGTCATACAATACAGAACAATTCCATATAAAATGATACAATACATTTCAATAGGTGATATACAGTATGAAACAATGCAATGTGTGACGTGATACAGTTTAAATTGATACAATACTATGGTTTATTGGATGTGATAATACAATATGATAGAATATATAATGATACCATATGATACAGTATAATATGATTATCACTGTGAAATACTACAAAGCAATATACCATTCTGTTGCTTTGTGGATATACAGCATGTTTTGGCCTCAGTACAGTCTCAATAACTGCCTGCACAAACAAATCTATAAATAGGTAGACTGTGAAAGGAACAGTAAACTACACAAACATGGTGGAGCAGAAAGATACAGCATTCCTGTTGTAAAAATAAAAAAATAAAAATAAAGTGTTCAAATATACAGTATAACATTTACTCCACCAAACAGGATCTCATTTTCACATCAGATAAAAGGGTTTCCTGAGTTCATACATTTATTTTTCAAAAAGCTCTCAGAATGTCTCAGATTAGCCAAAAAATGTTTTTAGAAAAGATGAAGTTCAAGCTGTGGTCAAATTATGCATGCTGAATAACAAGATGTCATTAAAAAAGGTATAAGGTGCTTGTGAAGTTTTGCTTTTGCACAAAAGCTGCGAGTTACTGACATTTTACATTTTTCAGTACTGGAATCTTATTGTAAGTATAAGTATAAGTCTCTGTTTTAATATAACTCTGACAATTCAACTACCAGTTGGTGGTATTTTCACATATCTTTATATTTTGCCTGAGCTGTTTTCTTATCTACACACTTATTTAGTTATTTATGGAAAATTTAAAAAGAGCCAACATGTAAGTCTTGGAATTGAGAAAGCCTCCAGGATAGCAAGAAACCAAACATCTTCAACTGAATAGAATTCTAGTTGTTTTGCGTTTAACTTTTTTTTTCTGATTCAACATGTAAAACGTGTTGTAAGCAGAAGTGAAAGTTTGGGCCGTACCTTCTGCACACTTGTAGGTAAGATGACAGATTGTGCCACTACGTGTGAAAGAGGAGGTGATGAAGTGGTTTCATCAGTCATGTCAGTTTTTCTGTAGCTGCTCTTCTTACTTCCTTATTCACCCGTCAGAACGTTTCCTCTTTTGCTGACTGGTATTCTTCTTCTTCTTCAGCCCTTTGCTTTGGATGATTCGGTTCTAAGAAGAAACAGCACAAACCTGCACTTTTTTAAAGTAATGTGAATGTTGCTGAGAWTAAATTGTGTTCAGCTGTAAGGCTTCAGAGAAGGTTTAGGAACGTCAAAACTCTGGTGAGTGCCAAATGAAAGGCAGCAGCGGAGTCATTTCCTGACGTGTGGATGTTTTTTGAATCACTCTAAATCTTGTATTGTATTGTACTCTTGTGCTTTCAGCTGTAATGGGGCCTTTCGTGTTTTCCGTGTAAAGGAGAAGGAAGCATCGGAGTGAAACGCTGACCGTCATGTGTGTCTCTCTGCTGTAGTGTGTGCGCTCTTTGTGTGTGTTTGTGATGTCGGGTGATAGCAGAACCCTGTCCTGGAAGAGCATGTCGCCCACTGGCCAGTCGGGTTCACCCRCTATGTCTCCCACGGTACCTGTTGGCAGGGAGAACTTCCTGCGAGAGAAGATCATCAAAGTGTGTTTCCTGAGCAGCAGTACCAACCTGGGCAAGAACTTCAAATTGGTCCGCTGTGAGGATGGCTGGACAGTCAAGGTACCCATATCTATCTTATATTATTCCCTGCTCTGTTGCTTTATCCTATATTCTTTTATTTTATATATATATATATTTTCCCTCATCTTCCCTTGTATGGTTTTTAGTTTTTCAGTTGTTAAAGGTAGCGCAACTGTGTTTGCTGCATGACCTGTTTCACCTGTTCCCCCATATTTGTCTTGTATGTCTTCTTGAATGGGTGTTTCTTAACTGCCCCTCCCCCCTTTCCTGAATGTACAGCACCTTGTGAATTTATTTCTGTGTAAGGCGCTATATAAATAAAACTTTACTTTACTTACTTACTTATATTCTGACCTCATTTACAACAACCCACTTGTCTATTACTTGCCAGTGAGTGCTTTTACTACTTCAACAAAACAGTGGCTCTAACTTAGTCCGTTTAATGGAAATTAAGCTAAAGTTTGACGTGGTAGTAGCTGAGAGTCATCGGCAACACATAGTTTGAGTGCATGCTTCTTTCAAAGTTTGAAAAACAAAATAATGCTACATTTTTTTTACCTTAAAATTTGTGGTATCCAATGCCAGTTTGTACTTGTACAAAATGCCCGATACCTGAAACCAAAATCGCTACAGAGACACTGGCACTGGCTATATTTAATAGTGAAAGTAAGAGCATTTCCAGATGCACAATGTGAAGGAAACCGAAGGGATTGTGACTAAACAGCGGTATAGTGAGGCTAATTGGAAAAAAAAACTTTAATTTGCTATGGAGCATAAAGGTTGGAGCAATGGAAGAGGGTCATGTGGTCTGATGAGTCCAGATTTACCCTGTTTCATAGTGATGGGTGCATCATGCCTAGTTCCTACTGTACAAGCTTGTGGGGTCAGTTGGTTTGGTCCAGGTTGAGGTCACTGACCACCCAAATCTACTGAATGACCAAATTATTCCATCAATAGATTTTCTCTTTCCTGATGACATGTACATGTTCCAAAATGACAATGCCAGGATTCATCGGGCTTGAATTGTGAAAGAGTGATTCAGGGATCACGAGACATCATTTTGACACATGGACTGGTCGCCTGAGTCCAAACCAGAACCCCATTGGGAATCGAGATCTACTGCAGTGGTCTGAATCTGCTGTCATCAGCACAAGATCTTGGCAAAAAAATTATAATAATGCAACTCTGGACAGAAATAAAAGTTGAGACATTACAGAAGCTTGTGGAAATGAGGCCACGGCAAATGTGTGTCAAAATCAAACCTAAAAGCTTTCCAATTAAATACTAGAGTGTGATATTTTGTTTTGTCCGAGCAGCGTACAATGCACTGTGAAATGGAGGTTCCTTCTATCACCAAAAGCAACGTACAGTAAGATGTCAAAATAATTTTTTTAAAGTTTTTTGTTTTGAGCATTTTTTCTTTTTTTTAGTAAGATTGGGTTAAAAAAAGAAGCTACAAGTTTACAAAGAGACATTGTTTTCTCCAAGTAGAAGTTGGGTGGTGCTCAYTACTCTGAAATGCTAATTAGTGGTGTTATTTTTCATGTTTTTCTTCATGACAAGACCGCACAGAGAAGTTTGATTCAGCCGCCTTTAAGGCAAACATCCACCTCTTTCAGAGTCAGGTCCCGTAGAGAAACAAACACAGGTACCTGCAATGCTTCAGATGCTCAATTTATGGAGGGAGGGGGTGACAAAATGACCAATCACACGCTGCCCGCCCAGTCCCCTGTATACTAGTGAGACATTGTTTTTGCCTCTCTGAGGCCTTGCATGAGACTGCCTCCCACAGAGAGTGAGACAGCGGAAAAACAAAATACCACAGACACCATACACAGGTTGGGGGTCATCACAATAAAGAATTCAAAGGTTTGTGAGCTGAGGTATTTCACAATGTTTTTGGATCCCTGTGAAGATGGTTCTTATTTCTGTCCTAGAACGTGATCAGCATGGTGCTGTCCAGTGGCTGTGTGGGTCCGGAGATCAAACACACCCTCTGCTACGGCCTCCTTCTCAAACACCTCAAGTCTCCGGAGATGCACTGGCTKCACCCGGACCTGACCGTGTCTGAACTCACCCAGCGCTACGAGCAGCAGCACCTGGAAGCTGAGTGGAGGTCAGAACTTCTGTGTATTGCTTTATTTTGTTGCGTGTGTTCTAAAAAAATATACACAAAACCCTAAAATATAATGTTGATATGATAAAACTACTTTGTTCAGGTATGACCTGAGGATCAGATACATCCCGTCAGACTTCATGGAGGCTTTTGAAGATGACAGAACCACCATGCTTTATTTTTACCATCAGGTCAGAAATCCATTAGTGACCCCATAATCCTTCACTTTATGTCCCTGATCTTGAGAGGTGAATCATTAATKAGGACTTATTGACAGGTTCGAAGTGATTATATGCAAAATTATGCCTCCAAAGTGAGTGAAGGGATGGCCTTACAGCTTGGCTGTCTGGAAATAAGGTAATTTTATTCATATGGAAGCTCCTTACAGAACAAAATGAGCCAAAAGTGCAATAAAAAAATTAAWGAATACTTAAAAACATATCCTTGCAGGAGATTCTACAAAGATATGAATCCGAATGGGCTGGAGAAAAAGTCCAACTTTGAATTTTTGGAGTAAGTCAATAGCTGTGAACTCATCAGAACTCATCTTCATTTTTAAAAGAAGCTCACATTAAGAGTTGGATATCTGAAGAAGCAATTCTCACTTTAATCCTTTTCTTTTGTTAGGAAGGACGTAGGGCTGGACCTGTTCTTTCCCAAAGAGCTCATAAACAGCATAAAGGTAGAGAGACAACAAGCCTGTTTTACACAAATATGCAGGTGATGGAAGTATGTGTGAATTTTCTACACCCATATGTGGAACATCGTGATGCCAAATAATTGCTGAGAGATTGTCTGAATGTTGTTATATTTGAAAATAGATGGTTTCAAAACCAAATGAAAGTCTAAGATAATTGTCATTTGTGTGCGTCAGCCCAAGCAGTTGAGACGGCTAATCCAGCAGACATTTCAGAACTACTCGACTTTCCAGCAGGACCAGTGCATGGTCAGGTTCTTCACCACTTTATCTCAGTGCTACAGTTTCACACATGAGATCTACGCCTGCCAGCTAGTGGTGAGTATTCGCTGCCTAAAATTAAAACTGTGAAAGCTCATTTCCTCCACCCTGAGGAAAACAAAAAAATGATTTTCTAAGTAACAATCATGACATTCTTTTTAGTTATAAGACAGTATCTCCTAACTGTTACTTAAGATAAAATAAGGCTGTTGTAATGATGATAATGTGACTCTAAATTGTAATATAAAAAGATTATGAAATTCTAAATCATATTGTGAAATGCTAAGTCATGATTTTGGTTCCCTAGTACCTATAGCCCTCTCTCCACGTGAAAGCCTGTATGTGGTTCTCCTCGGTTCAGCCTCAGCCAAAGGTGTCTGCATTTCCAGTTCCAAATGCTCTTTCAGAAAAACCTCAGCCGTGGTAACAAGTGGGTGAAACTGGGTATAGCGGGCAAACATTTTTGACATCAGCAGACTGCTGCCCGTGGCTTGGCTGAGGCCTGCGTCAGTCTTAAGGAAGTCCAGATTATCGTGATAGCTCTAAAGATAATCATAGCAGATATTCCTACCGTGGGTGGTGAGTTAAGAGTGATCTAGTCGGCTCGGAAGGACGTCTGGACCGCTCCAACCTCAAATTGGGGATATTCAACGTTTGATTTTTTTTTGGCCCGAAATCACAGCGTGTGTGGTGTTCACTCAAGAACAAACGAGCTCCCAACCTGCTGAATGTGACGTGTAGCCAATCAAAGAGAGGTGATGTAAACACGGAGGGGATTCCAAAATACAGAAGACATTAAAACTGTCATGACTCACCAGAAAGTTCGCTGGGCTTTAGAAGTCATTTTGAATTGTTTTTTTTCCCCCTCCGGTAAAAATAGTCCACAAACAATCAAGATTCTTTCTTCCTCATCTCAAATGTTTATTTACTCTGAACCTGCATGTCTCTGGAGGTCACGCAAGATTTTTCCACTGACATCTGAATTCTCATGAGATTTCAAGAAGTCTCGCGGGATTTCACATCTGACATCTGAATGAAATATCTTTTCACATGTGGTGTGTTGTCTCTTGTCGTGTGGCTGTACATCACACGCTGTAGGACCAAACCTGGTTTATCCATGATTTTTTTATCCTCACATGTAGTGCGCCTCAGTCTTTGAAAAACGGCAGACAATTTAAAGATCTTGCCGTGTGACGCAGGCCGAGGCAGAACTTTCAAACTCCTCCAGCAAACTCTTCCTGGAGAGAGCTGAAGGAGATGAGCTCATATACAGTGAGCTGGATGGAGTCATCCCACGGTTACAACACTTATAAACGGCGCTGTGACAAAAAAAAGTCAGCCTACTGGATGATAAAACCACTTTTTTTTTCCTTTTCCCCTTTTTTACCACAACGGCTGAAGCCACGTGCTGACAATCTGCACACAATCAAACCCGCAGAGTGAAGGACACACTGACATAAAGTCACACACTCTTGAGCAGAACTGAACAGACGTGAACTGAATAGAGTGAGACTTGACAAAGGGGACGGGGCTTATGTTCCCTACTATATATGTTCCCCACTACCTATGTTCCTTCGTATCCATGTTCCCCAGTACCTATGTTTCCAAGTATCTATGTACCTCACTATCTATGTTCACTAGTACCTATTTTCCTAGTACCTACGTTCCCTAGTACCTATGTTTTTGCACAAGCACACACTTTCAAAACCTCCTCTCCGATGGTTCTAAGCGGGTTGAACCGAGTACAGCACSTTTACAGTTTTGATGTCAGCAGAATGCTGCTCGTGGATTAGCTCTTGGGTAGATGGAMAGAGGAAAGTCGTTACTTGTGCAAGCTTCCTCTAGGAGAGATCGGCTTTTGTYTTGGAATACGAGCACACGATACAAAGACATGGAGAAAGCAGTGATAAAACCATGGTCTACCCATTTTTGGTGATCTTGGGAAAGGCAGACCTTGCAAACACTTCCTTGGGAGATGTAAAGAAGACAAAGCCAAGCAGATATCCTGGGAGGTTTCAAACAAACTGGCCACCCACAGTTACACAGGCACTTATAAACAGCACTGCAACGATAGACAGACAGACAGACAGACGGACGGACGGACGGACGGACGGACGGACGGACGGACGGACGGACGGACAGACAGACAGACAGACAGACCGATACTGCGTACCACTAAAAGATTTGGCGCCAGCATTGTCTGTCAGAACACATCTGTTAGCAATAGGCAGTATAAAACACAATTAATCTGTTTATAAATACATTATTTCTCATCCCAAATTGTTTCTGAACTGTCCCTGCCAGCTCCTTTTCCCTCGGAGTTCRAGACTTTCATGAACCACCAGGCGCKGCYGATTCATAATGGCAAAATGAATTCGCCTCACAAAATAGTTCCTCCTGATAAGCAATATTCTCTCAGTTTGTAATTTGTTGTTTTGTTGTGTTTTTCCAACTACTTTGACAATTTTAAATAAAATGGGTTTTAGTGATACAGTCTCAGTTTTTTTTACTTGATTACAGTTACATGCC